AAAAAAAAAAAAAACTAAGAAAGTTAGGTATATGTTTGTTTTTTGTTCTTTATTTTTAACACCTGTGTTTGGTTAACATACCCTGAGTATGTATTATTGATTGTGCCTAACAAAATAACAAACAGAACAAAAAAAAAAAAAAAAAATACAAATTAAAAAATGCTTCACCCCCGCTATTATCATTTAAAAGGAAGAGTTCATGCCGCAAAATGTTTTGAAGAGGTGGATCAAACAATAAAACACCAGACACCCGAAGGAGATTAAAAAAGACTAACTATTTAGTTTTCAATCATTGTCAAAGAAAAAAAAAAAAAAAAAACATTAGGTTAGGTACAAAGAAAGACTGATTTTTCTTTTAAAAGTCTCGCAATTACGTTTTTTTTTTTTTTTTATTTTGTTGAGAAATTATTTTTTTTTAAACAAGCGTGTTCAATGTCATGAAAGCAAGTGCGCCTATTAAATACAATAACATTTTAAAAAGTACAATCAATTTTTTCTTGTTAATTAAAAAAAAAGTAATGTGTAAAAAAAACACAAAAAATCTTACTCTTTAAAAAACAGCGCTCATATATTCAATTGCAACAATAAACGGAAACCTTAGGGTTAAATACGCCGATGTACTCATCCACAAAAAGTTGGTAACTTTTTGCTTTTTTTTTTGTCTTTACCTTAATCATGCGATTATTCGTAAAGAATTAGAGGGGAAGACACCAAGTACATTGGTACTGTTCTTAGTGTCGTGACTCTTCTTGTATCTGTCAGATAGAGGAAGAAAGGCAATATCACCGCACAACTTGTTTGTATCATCAAGGGTCGTTTGTACGGTATGCTACATTTAACATGATTCTCTAAAAGAAGGAAGGCAGCAGGGATGCAGACAAGAGAAGGCCCACCATGCACTGAATATTTCTTTTTATTTGACTAGGTATTTATTTTTTTAATAAGAACTAACACACTAACTACTTCATCGCATCATAAAAGAAGACAAACACGTACAGGTTTTTAAAAGGTATTAAAAATAAGCACCGACTACACTCTAGTTTCTATTTATTTTAATGAGAAAAATGCAGAATGGAGATACATATACATACACACACACACAAAAGAAAAAAAAAATCACACACACAAGATAAAAAAAAAGAAACCAACAGACCAGTAATTTTTTTCTTCAAGGACCAATGAATCATCATACCTACACCCTTACAAAGTGTTGGATGGCTGTTTTAGTAATTGAGAAGCAAATTGTAATTATTGATCAGGTTTTCAAACGGGTATACACTATGGATACTTAAAAAAAAAAAAAAAGGGTGGGGACATATCGACTATATACTCAACTGTTCCCAAGAAGGAGTAGGAATGAATAATCTCTCTATATGAGTAGATTGTAAAAAATTAAAAATAGCAAAAAAATATATATTTTTATTTTAAGCCGTAAAATAAAATTTAAGGGAATGTTTAGTTATAAACTTAGTTTTTTTTTAAGTTCCCTAAAAGAAAAAAAAATTGAGGAGTGGTATTTTTTTTTTTTAAATCATCACCTTTTCAATTTTTATCATTTTTTTTTTTTATGCCACATGATGGCATTATTATTTTTTTATTTTTACCTGTCGTCCTAGAAACAAAAGATGTCAAAAAAATAAATATATATACTAGTTACCTATTTATATTATTTTTTTTTTTAATCTGTAAATTCTATCAGTAGAAAAGAATAACTAAAAATAAATAAAAACCTTTTTTATTTCCCGGGAAAAAAAACAAACTATTTTCCGTCTTCTTAGCAGAACAATTACCGTAACTCTCTTCTGTGCTAAGGAAGGAAATGTATAAATTTTCGATCCAAACTGTCGTAACTGATTTCCGTATTTTCAAATCAAATGGATACTTGTCAGTGGATCTCTAAGTGGCAAGTCTTTATTTTCGAAATCGGGAGAGAGGAAAGAAAAAAGAAATAAGATCACAAAAAAAAAAATGCATGTACATAATATGAAACCTGGTAAAGTTATATAAATAAAAAAAAAAGTTTGTGAGCCTGTGACAGGACAAGATCTTGTTGCTACCATTTAAGCTGGAACGAGTTAGATTAAAAAACGTCGTATGTACAAACTATAAAGTGACGTGATGTACGTAATGTTTAGTTTAGGGTAGGCCATCAGGTGTCTTCTTTTTTTAAGTTTTATTTAAAGAAAGTATTGTTTTGACTTTTGAGATGTTCCTAGTTTTATTTTAAGAAGATCTCAAATCACAGCTTGAAAAGTACGTAGTCTATATAACAAAAGCACGTTTTAGTGAAATAAATAGCTAAAAATAAATGTGACCAAAATTAATAAGGAACTCAATTGACGTCTTGTGCTATTTTGAGCTGATTGCCTTTAAAAAGGAATTAAAAAAATAAAAAACATTACTGATTCAGAGAATCGCCAAGCACAAGGAAATTGTTTACTTGACGTACAAAATATTTTGTAATAAATTTGACAACTTAGTGAAGTATATATACAATAAACAGATTTTTAGCCCCTTCTTTGCGGGTGATACAGAAAAAACAAAGGAAAAACGGGTGAGATCTTTCTTTACGACCAAGATAAATAAATTACATAAAATACAACGTTGCTAATTGTTAAAGTAAAGATGTATCCAGGTAGATTTTTTTTACAACACGTGTATATAATCAGAGAAAAGAAAAAAATGAGTGCTCACCTGTAGGAGTGTGGAGTGTATGGATCAAGTAGATAAGCCTAGTGGTGTTTTTACAGCAATCCAATATCCAAAGTAAGTTCAGATAAACAATAAACAAAGTTTTAATATGAACTGTGTCGAATTAATACGGTAGTTTACAAAAAGCATATACATATATATGTAATACACACACACATATATACATATGTATGTGTGGGGGTATGTATGTTTTTTTAAAAAAAAAAATCACTGTTGGAGAAATAGAAATCTCAAAAAGTCCAAAAGTAAATGCTAGCAATAAGTAATGCTAGCAGTTTGTACTCGTAGTAGTAATTTGGGACCAACTCGCCTCCTCGCTACACAAACGTCCTGCTCCCAGTAGTACATACTTCTTCGGCCACTACTGAGGTTCCCCAACTGCCTGGACATGGTCTGGGCCGCTGGAAGAACTCGCAAAATACTAAAAGTTTTCCGTTGCTGCTGGGTTTTAACTCTACGGCCAGGATTGTTATGAAATGTCGGCCTTTTCTTGGGATTCAGTGGCGATATGGTGTGGCTGCAGCGAGCCACCATCTTAGCTGCTGTTCATACTGTACCGTTCGGGAATAACATTCTCGTACCTGCTTATTCTATTGCATTCGCTAAATTTCTTTAATCCAGCTCTGTATAGACAACTCGACACGTTCATAAATTAGATTCCTTCGCACTGCTATTCTCACGCGTCGTCCTTCGCACGAGCCATTATTCCAATTAAGGTGTTCATAAATGCATTCTTTCACAATATGATATAGATAAGAAAAGATTCTATTTTTTTAAGAAAAAGAAAAAATATATAAGGTTTGCATTATTGTCCAAATTTTTCCCTGTGACAATCTCTAGAATTTGAAATAATTTAGTTATTTTAAAAAACTGAAAACAAGATATCTTTCTAATTATCTATGTAACATCTAAAATAAAACAATATAAATTAAATCATTTAGGATAAAATGAAATGTATTTATTTTATAATTTTATTTTATGCATTCAAAACATCAAATTAAATTTTAAATTAATCATTAAGGAATTTATTTAAACTTAACATAATAAAATTTGAAATAAGAGGTTCAATAAAATAATTAATTTAAAGAAATTAATTTGAAGAAACTGAAGTTTTTACCAAAAGTGGAGATATTATTATAATATATATATCAGACACTCTCAAAATGGTTACACATTCAGTATTCACCATTAACTAATTGCTTAACTTACATTGTTTTCCATAGCAGAGGTATTCAAATTTTTTACAAAAAAAAGAGTAGAGTTTATTGTTTTCTCAGGCATTCTCAAAATGGTTTCTCATTCAGTACTCACCATTATGTAATTGCTTAACTTATTCTGTTGTTTTGCAGAGCATGTGTAAAGGCATGAGAATTTTTTGAGTTTTTAGCATTGAAAATCTGTTTCTTGTTTTTATTACCAATGGGGTATCACAGGTAGGCTAATTTCATTGAGAACTTTTTTGTTTTGTACTATTTATTACATGTGCACCATGAATATTTATTAAAATCTATATAAATTAAATTTGATGAAAAAAATAAATTTTACATTGTGAAATTATAACAGACATCTCATTAAAACATATTTTATAAGTTGACCCATTTCAAACAAAATAAAAATTTAAATTTATTATTAATTTTTTATTAAATATTATTAATGAAACACTAAATTGCAACTGAGAAGAAACCATCTTGAAATAAAATTTAGTCAACATGCATCATTTAAAAATTCTATATATATAAAATTCTATGGCTACCATCAGTCTGTACATTCATTACACCTTCTAAAATAGCCATATATTGACAAATCAAAACCAAATTAAAAAATATTGTTTACAATGAAGTCCTATAAAATTAAAGAAATTATTAAACTGCAAAGTAGGATTTTTGTCAAAGTATTTTTCCAAACAAATCAGCTTATCATCGATTGGTTTGCAAAATTGAACAAGTTTGTAAATCTCAACAAAAGATGTTAGTAATAACTTCAATAATAATAAATACTGTAATGTTTTCAACATATGTTAGCGTGTTGCAAAAAAATTCTAGTCTATGAAATTACCTTGTAAAGTTTCATCTTTCTAACATCTAAAATAATGATGATCAATTGATATAAATTTTGGTGATTACAAAAATGACAGACAATATATTAACTGATATAACAATCATGATCACAAGTATCATAATCTATTAGGGTCAGTGGGGAAGCACATGTACTGTAGCCATAACAGCAGTGGGTATGTCTGTGGCAAGATAACATGATGGAACCCATTTCTCTACAGGCTGGAGTCTTATAGCCATATCACATTGAAACACCAGTTCCCATAGTTCCCGTACAATCACCAAAGTTAAGCAGTGTCAAGCCTGGTCAGTACCTAGATGGGTGACCTCTTGAGAATACCAGGTGTTGCAAGCTTAGATGTTTGGCTGGTGTAATACATAATGGCTTGGAATTGTTAATTGGCGGGCCGAGTTTCAATTCCAGTTGAGTTTGTTATATTTACTTATATGCAAATAACTTTAGAAAAGGTATGAATCCACCTCTTCTCCACCCAGCTATGGGTTAATTGTTAAGACTTGTGTCACTAAATCATTATTATATTCCCCCCCCCGACACACACAAAAAAAATCTTAAAATATTTTCTGGCTTTAAATAACCTGCAAAGGGTTGATAAACTGTAGAAAATGAGATCAATCAATCTTCAGGCTGGGTTTGAATTTAGCATGTTCTTAGACTGGCTGCCACCCAGGGCCAAAGAGCCCAGTCTGTCCTGCTATTTAACACATAGCTGGAGGAAAATAAATTCATACTTTTCAAAATGCAAAGTGAATGAAACTCAACACACTGATTTCATTAACTGTTATACTAACTGCACATCCGAATCAGCAATAAAACATTTCCAAGGTCATTAAGGTCAACATATGTACTGCAGCCATAGCTATAGTGAGTATGTTTAAAACAAGGTGACTTGACAGAGCCCATTCCTCTTCAAGCTGCTTTTGAATTTAGACCCATTCCTTTCTAAAGAGCATTAATACAAAATGATCAAAACAGACTTGGTCAAAATTCAAATGTCATACACTGATTCCACTTTCTGTGTTGATAACCATTACACTACCCACACATTCAAATTTGCAATAATAAATTTTATTCACAATATTTCTAAGCTATAAAGTAACAAAAGTTTATAATAATGGCATAACAGAATTGATAAGTGTATTTTTCCTACATTAGAGCTTAGTAGATTTGTAGCCAGTAAAGTGCTTCCTCGATTATTCATACCTAAATTATTCAAACTTCAATTATCTGAATGTGAAATGAAGAGAAAAATTGAAATCCTTCAAACATTTTGCAATTATCTGAACTAAACCAATTCTTATGATCTGAGGTGGAAGTTAGTTGGAGTAAAGAAACAAATTAGACACTGGTTTGGAGAAATGACCAAAGATTTACTTTCATTTATAAGATATGGTAAGTCGTATAGTGTAGCATTCGAATGTACAGTGTATGAAGTGTGAAATGAGAGGATGAAAAAGCAGTATCCTTAAACTGGCTGACTGCTTGCTATTGGTTTGGGCTTGTCACGTTGATAGTGGAGTTCATTCTTTTTCTGTGCATTTTCACAGCCTAATGGTCAGACAGGCAGTCAGCCATACTCTATGGTTAACGTGTGTGTGTGTGTGTGTGTGAAGTCTCTCTCTCTCTATGCTCTTTCTCTGCAGCCCAGCTTCTCTTATAGACTATAAAGAGAAATGCATGGATGTAGTTGTAGACATCTGGGGCAAGCAAGAGTTAAATTGATAATGGCCAGCCCGCTGGTATATTTGTGTTTCTTGTAAAATCTGTTTTGAGTAGAGTGCAGCATATGTGTGATTTAGGTAGACAAAACTTAATGTGTAGTTAGAGATATATGTTTTCTAATAATTGTATAAATTTGACATTTAATTTGTTATCTCTATGTGTAAATTGTGTTTTTCTGTTGCACTTGTATTAAATTTCAGACAAGAAAAATTTTGAAGATGAGGAAAATTCTTGATGATGTTGCCTATGTTGAAATTTGACAGTCCCATTGCCCAATTTCAAATGCTGAAGCAATGATTATACTTGACAAATATTTAAGTTGGTTGTGCTTTCAACCCGAAGCAAATACATCTACTTTAATCCAGCCTCAGGGGCTTACAGCAGAAAAATGTGAGACCAGTAGGAAACAGACAAAAATTGATGCATTTTTTCAGCAAAAATAATAAGATACAATCTTTAAGAATGTGTTTGAAAATGTTTATTTGTTTATCATCAAATTTTCTTTCAGAAAATGACATTTTTTTCTTTATTCTTTCTTGATAATTTAGGTACTCAATTATCTGTAATTTTGAATTATCTGAACATATTTCTTCAACCCCAAGAGAAAGCATGGTGGATAGCAACTTGGACTGAGGAATCAGAGAGCCGAGTTCAAATTCCAGTCAAATCCATTACATTCACTTATGTGCTAATAACTTTGGAAAAGGTATGAATCCTTTTCTTCTCCCCCCCCCCCAAACAGCTATGGGTAGATAGCTGCACAAACCAGGTTCTATAGCCTTGGATGGTAACTGGTTTACTGTAGAAAGAAATGGCAACCTACTGCAGGAAAAAATTTGCCTTGTCAGTCATGTATTGAAAATACATGATCACCTACGCATGTATCACGCATGGCACATAACTGACTGACTTATATAGACACACACATTCTCATACACATGTCCACAGATGCAGACACACAATCACATGCATACACACACACACATACACACACACACACACATATTTATATATATTAGTTTCACAGCTTGACAAATGACAAAGAATTAAAATGTATTGTAATAATTTATGTTGTATATTTTGGTTTTAACTGAAAGAAAATAACACAAAGTAGCAAAAAAGAAAAAAATACTTCTGTGTATTTTTAAATAGGTTTTACAGTTTTTTTTTTATGTTATGTCATCGAAAATTACTCAGATCATGACTGATGAAACTCCTTTGCGTTTTATGAGTGTTGTATGGAGGAGGCACAGTAGAGTAAGGAGGGGGCACAGTGGAGTAATGGATAGCGGCTCAGATTGAGAAATCGAGGAGCCGAGTTCAAATTCCAGTCAAATCTATTACATTCATTTACATGCTAATACCTTTGGGAAAGGTAAGAATCCTTTTTTTCTCCCGCCAGCTATGGGTAAATAGCAAGACAGACTGGGTTCTATAGCCTTAGATGGCAACTGGTCTACCGCAGAAAGAAATGGCAACATACTACAGGAAAAAATCTGCTTCATCAGTCATATATCGAAAGATATATGATTGCCTAAGCATGAATCACGCATGGCACATAACTGAACTGTGGTGATAGAGAAAGTAAATAAATAAAAATAAATAATAACAAGAAGACCAAAATTTCACCATCTCTAAAAATAAATGTATACTTAAAATTGCCAGGCAAATAACTATAGTTTGACCAACAAATTAGAAAACTTTCACAAGCAGGATGTAAGAAAAATAAACAAATAATAACAAGGAGACCAAAATTTCAGATTTCTATAAATAGTTTGACTAACCAGTCAGAAAGCTTTCACAGCTATAATATAAGGGTGCAAGCCAATGATAAGTGAGCAGCCTTCTCAAAGCATATCTATTGATGTGTATATTAACAGATGGAAAATCAACCCAAACCAGAATTGATAAATTGGTTTTGTCCATTTTCTGATTCTGCAGTCATCGTAACTTATCCATAGATGAAATACATTTGCACAACTAGCTGGCAACTTTAGACAGCTAATCCGTCCTTGCTACATTGAAAACAAACACACTTTCCTTCACCACATTGTCAAGTGATGGCTATTAGATTTTGTCTGTCTCTCTATTGCTTTTATGTGCCAGGACTTTTACACTTGAACTCTTAAAATTTCAACTTTCACCTTATCCTTCTGTATTATTATATTGTATATAATGATTTATTTTGTATTTTTCAACACTCTGTGAATTATCTTTTAATCATTATGCAAGAACAATATACACCCAAATCAATTATATTAATATATGGGGGTAACAGACATTGTCATAAGATAAATAACTCATCCATAACTGATAACATCCTAACCTACCATAGTACTATAGGTATTGAATTTTACATAGTGCTATGAATGTCTGTGTATGACTATAGACATCTAACTGAATAAGTTCAAAGCATTGAAAAGTAAATGAAACATTTTATATTGTGGTTGTAAATTTGCTCACTGTGTATTTTTTAAGTAAATGGACACAACATTAGTAGCCAGTTTTGAAGAGATGTTGATGTTTCTGTGATGGTCCTGGCAGCAGATTGATTAGATCAATAAAGAAGAATCTGCAATATTATTGATCTTGATTTGGCATCTCGGCTTCAATCACTTTCCCACCAATATAATGTAGCTTTCTTGCGCCTTTTCTATAAATATTTTTTATGGCAATTATTCTGATGAGCTTTCCTCCTTTGTGAATTTAAGTATACTACTAGACTGGCAGCAAGATATGATCATTTTACAGTTGAAATGGTTACATGTAACCATAAGTTCTATGCTAACAATCTCTTCTTCTACATTTCTCACTTATGGAACTCTGTTTTGAGCTTCTTGCTTCCCAATCAACTTTGATTTTTAAAAATTTAAATGCAATGTCAATTGTTATCTTCTGTCTTCTTAATTTCTGTTCTTTTATTATTCTCGGTCCTTAATGTTTTCTTTTTCTCATATTGTTTCACACTCAGTAACCCTTTGCATCTTAGTGGTTTTATTGCCTTACTTGGAGTTAAATAATTGTAAAGTAATTAATATATAAAACTGACTTCTATATAACCTCCTCTTATGGTTCCACTATCAAATCAGTGAATTTTTTTAATTGTTTAACCCCAAGAAAAACAATAAAGCCACTAAGATGTTTCGGTGGGGATCTCATGTTCACTCTACATCTCAAGTAGAACTCCTATATTCAAACTATTGCCAAAGATACTGGAAAACTGGTTGACTTATTCTATCACTCATGGAAGTACCTGACTTCATCTGACATGTTTTATCTTTACTAAAGTCATATTAAATCAAAAATGGAGTATTGCTGCCATATCTCAGCTAGAGCTGTTCAATTTTCACTTTCTAACGTCCAAAGAATTCAAAATCATTTGTGTGGTCTTGTGGGCAATGTCTTATTTTCCATGCTTCAACTTCCTTCCTATCTATTTTTATGCTCTATTTCTATTTTTATCGCAAATATTCAGATGAAATCCGTTCTTGTTTTCCACTAATTAAAATTACAGCTCAGATATGCCACACCACTTCCACGGAATCAAATCATCCTCATTTCCTCCATGTTCTAAATGTGAAAAAGAAAGTTCCACTTAAATAACTTTCCCCC